TTGAAAGTTACTCTATCAATTTATCGCCATTCTTGATTCACGTATACCCTTTGCAAACCAGTCGTATGCGTGTATGCCTCGCCACTGTAGACATCACAACACAATCGATGACCGCCTCTTAAATGTGATAGCTGCTTGTGAACCAAGTGAGTAGCCGATCGCGCTTGCACATTAGTTGCCACTAATTAAAACCATCATTTATTTGTGTTAATTGTTTGTACCGCTCAAAGTTGATAAGTGGAAGATCTATTAAATCGACCTAAAATGTCTCCGTCTTCCGAGCTTAAAGGAATCCTGCGCGGAAATTTCTTGCTCCAATTTCCCAACATGAATGTGTCAGTTGTGATCACTGGAAATAACACACAAAGTTTCACGCATGAAGATTCGTTTCCGAAGAGAAATAAACTTACCAAAACACATTCCATGGACCATCGAAGGACCATCGGGCGGAACAACATAACTCATGGAACAATGTACGTGGGGAGGCGGCTATGTGTAAGGCGACGCGTTGTAGGACGAATTCAGGATACGACGTGTAAACTGCCGCGAGTGCAATTGCGTCCCAAAGCACAATTGCGCGTGATTTTGTTTCGCACACATTTCGCACACACACAGAGCTGTGGAACAAAAAAAAACTTAAAATTAGGCCCAAGCCCACATCACAGCGCCGCGCCACCGCGGGAAGAATTTCCGGTGACGACACTCCGAGAAACGAGGTACCTCTCGCAAACGCTCGTGACGTCAGCTTGGCGGGAATTTGAACGACTAATAGGTGTCTCGGTTTTTGAATTTTTCTACAAAACAAACTCTTATTTCTCGTTCTTTTCTTTCTCATGGTGACCTATGGGACTCAAGTCAGTGTTTCATGGGAGAAATAGGATCATGATTTTTCGCGCAGGATTCTTTTAAGGTTCTACCACCAGCGCGGAAATCGCACTACCACACAGAAGCGTTACTTACCTTAGTAAGAGATAAGGTAGCTATAATTCTTCAGTTATCATATTAATCAAATAACTATCACCATTTATGAGTAACTATGACTAAGTGTCATTAATCAACTACCAGCTATCACTATAAGCTAGTGGTGATCAAATTCACTCTGAGGCCATCATCACTTGTGTTGCGAAGCCTGCATTGCAGAATATCTAGCCGCCGGATACAAAAGGTACATAAAATCATGCCATAGGATGCCTGCCTTGATTCTCTTGGGTTTTTGGATACACCCTCCTCCCGTTACTATGGCCTATATCCTTTATCGGATTTTTTGCTTGACCCAGTGACAATTTCAGGCTATCATCTGCTTATAGCATGTCAAATTTTAGGTGAAGGTGCGAAACGCACGGAGGCATAGCCAAACTCGTCGCAACGATGGTGATAATAGCCGCGATAACTCGACATTGGAGTACTGTTTGACAGATTGATTCCTCATGACTCCAGTCAAAGTCGCCTGTTCAGGGATTTTGATGAGGTGATGAGTTCTTTGCTCCATAGAGCAAACGGAACAAACAAAACCGATTTGCAACGCGCATGGCTAGAAGACGAGGTTCACAATGTTACACTGCGTAGGGCATGGTTGCGCTACAATCACGAAAAGGCAAGTTTTATCACTATTAATAATTTATTGTGTCTAAGAAGCGCTGTACTGAGGACGAGATGTAAGGGTAAAAGGCTTGATTAAGGTCGATGTCAGACTTTGCAAACCCAGCGAGTCGCTAGCGAATACTAGCGAATCGCGGGGTACGAGCGCTGCACCAGCGGATCAAACGATGTAAAAGCAACTCGACACTGTTCAGAAGTAGCGGGGCTCCCTCTCGTTTGCACGTCGATTCTCTACTTTCTCGAACTCTTGGGCTCCGTGAGCCTTAGCTATAGGTGAGAACCAATTTTCAAGCTGAGTCCAGCCACTTTCAAACATTTCGAGTCGCTGGTACATCGTTCGAGCTGCTGGTACACAGCTCGATTCGCTGGCGCAACTCTCGTATCCCGCGATTCGCTAGCGGATCGCTGGATTCGCAAAGTCTGACATCGACCTGTCATGGTCCGGGAGTAGACTTTTGCCCAAATAACTAATCTGCTGGCATCGGCAAATGGGCAGCTCTTTTAACACCTTGAAATTAGCGCGGAAATATGCATACCGATACTTTCACAACACGTCAGACATTGTGGCAACTATGCCACACACATCACATTTTTTTTGCACATGACTGACTTCTTCCCAAGTTTTTTTTGTGTTCATTTGATACATAGGTCAACATAACTAAAATACGTAGCTGACAAAATGGCCAAATATTCTTATGTTGGAAAAGGAGGAATTAAATGAACTAATGTTTTCGTAGGGGACCTTACGAAAACATTGGTTCATTTAATTCCTCCTTTTCTTTTCATTGACGTAAACACACGAAATAGGTTGTCTCTTTATGTAATTCTTGTGCCGTACCGTGCCTTTTTCTCCCGTCTCTTGGACTTCTTGGGACCCAGTCACATGTTTGACAACAATCTAAAACCAACAATCTAAAACCGCGCCCGCCATCTACGATTGACCACCCTCCTTCTCTGACCTCTACCCACCTTTTTCCCGGCTCTTTAAGACTTCCCCGACCCGAATTATGAGGGCTTGTAGAAAATGCTGTACACTTCAGAGCGCGCTCCCGCCCATTGTGGGCGGGCCTCCGCCCACGTCATGTATGCTGGAACACCTTAGACATTGCTCCCTACACCAATTGTTTTCTGCTCTGTAGGCTTTCTCCCAACCGAGTTATGAATATTTTTATTAAGCGCTGTTTTTGCAGGAAACGCCCCGCCCTTTATAAAAAATCGTATTTTTCCATTGCGATTTTCTATTTTTTGAAGTGATGAAGAACACTTCGTCTTCTATGTAATATGTGAATTTGGAACAATTTTG